TCAGAGGTGTGGTATGGATCTCGCTTCACATGGAAAGTTGCAAACCCAAGTGGAACAGTACAACGGCGGAAGTACATGCGTGGAGACAGTATGTTCCGCCCCTTCTGCGGGGGGGGGCTCCACTTTGTTAAGATATAACCTAACCCAAACTATGTCCGAGGTGTGGAGTGGATCTCGCTTCACGTGAAAAGTCGCAAATCCATATGGAATCGTATATGTACTACAAAGCACATGCTCAGCTGAGAGGACAGATATAAGATTTAGAGTCCATCATTTTTCTCGAAAACTATCACTCGTACAGTAAAACTGAATAGGACATAAAATGTATGTTTTAAAGAGATCTACAACTTTTGTTTTAAACATTTTTCAAAATTTTTAATATTTGTGTCTGAAAATTATATATAATTGGTCGACATGGTTTTTTTAATAACTTTTTAACACACAACGTCCGCAGGCTAAAATCTTTTGCAGGTCACTCAGGTGGATGACCTCTATAATATATGTCAAGCCCAAGGTTATTGGAGGTGGGTGTCCTAATCTAAATAATTACCATAAGGGTATAGTCAGGTATGTGTTTTTTTTTTCATTGTGTTAAGAATCTGAATCCTCGTTGTCGTCATCGATGTTATTGCTGTTGTTGCTTGTTCGCGTGAGTCGATATAGGAGATCGCGCAATTGTCTAAACAGTTCGTCTCGTGGGCAAACAACGTTAACGATTCGTAGATCGAATGTACCTGCCGTTAGTACAGTTTTCGTAAACTCGTTGAATTTGTAAAATTGTCGTCGAGTTGTGAAATACAGATTACCGTCGAGGTATCTGAAGACTGACGTCACTCCGTTTGGTATGCCAGGAAAAGTCGACTCAATGGTGTGATACCTGCTAATGCTGTCGGAGCAGTCGTCTATCTCACCAACGATATATCTATTGTATAACACGTAAGACTTTCCTTTGTTAGTGTTCACGGCAGCGTCTATTTTTGCATCCATAGGAATTCCAAAGTCTTTGAGAGTTCTCGGCCAAGTTGGTACTAGCTTGAAGTCTGGGTAGTTCACTTTATAGATTCTATCGTCAACGAATAGAATCAAGTGATCGGATGGAGTTTGATACGCGGCTGAAATGCGCGTGAAGTTTGAATGAATGAATGGCATGTAGTGTGAAAGCAGCAGAGGTTCTCTGTAGGTCTTTCCATCTATGTCAATCACCCACATATGTTTTCCGTACGCTACGTACATTCGTTGTTCCAACAGTAATATCACATCAACACGTTTCAAGGCGCACAGATCCGGTGGAACGCTTGGTGTTGGCTGCGGTGGTGGCGGTCTGGGAGTCGTTTTCGGTAACACGTCGGTATCCGTAGCGCCGTATAGATTTTGTATGTTTATAATGTCCTCGTTGTTTAGTTTGACAGGAAAAGTACTGTCAGGTATGAATGAATACATTATCGTCGTAGTGTCGTGATTATGATCTAGCCCTAACGAATGACCGATTTCATGAGTCAACACGTACAGCAAATTATATTTGTTCGGTGGACCCATATCTAGATATATATGCCACTGTTCCGTCGTGTCGACGTGAACCTCCGACGTGAAATCCGACGCTCCATTGGGATAGAACGCGTGAGCCAACGTGCCGCCGGGACCGTCCAAAACGCTCGAGCACAATTTACCGTTTCGACGATCGAGGAACATATGATGACCTTCGCGCAACGATATCAGAATGTTTGGGTTTTCAACAGCACGTTCAAATGTTAGCGACGAATGTTTCTGCCACAAATCGAACGCTGCCTGAGTTGTATCCAAGAGCGCTCTGTTGGCCAAGTGAAACTTCCACGTCAAGTGTCGTTTCGGCCACTTACGTATAACTTTGCCCTCTCCGAAATTCAATATGTCACGTAGACCGCATCGCGGTTTACTCATCAGGCTTAGAGTTGCGTTGTCCACTTTACCAGTAACAGGTAATCTGTAGTATTCTTGAAAGAGGTTGATAGCGTGTCGAAGAACCAGCTGATCTTCACTAGTGGCAAACGTATCCATCTTCTCGTTCAAAAAACCGTATTTCTGCAGATATCGTATCGCCACTTCATTGTTTTCCTTGATGACTTTACACTCAGCGACAATATACACACATATAAGCATCGTAGCTACTGTACAGGTAACTATGATGCGTGCGAACATTGTGGTCATTGTGAAGAACCGGTGCAAACTCGAATGATGAAATGCGCATCTCGAGATGACCTTTTATTAGGTTAGGGTTGGGTTAGTATTAGGGTTAGTGGGCGTTGGTCTATGACGATGAAAGTGTTACAAAGCGTCACAAAAATAACAATTTGAAGGGTATGATCCATATGTTTCGCAATATCCTTTCGAGTAGACGTTGACGTTATACAGGGTGTCTGATGCAAAAGTAGCCACCTTGAAAATAGTGGTAGATTGGGTTAAACTAAAGAGAAATATCATGTACCGCGGTACAAAATAACAATAGTTATCGAGTAATAAATTTACACGTTTGTGCCAATGAGGATGCAGGAGACGGTAGGCCGGACTCGGAAGGCATTTAAGAAAATCGATCGATGAGCGGGAGGTGGAGCGACGCGCGAGATACTATATTTATGTTTCGGGTCGCCCGTCGCTCGCGCTCGCTGCCGCGCTCGCCGCCCGCGCCGCGCTCCCCGCCGCGCCTAGGT